TGATTCGAATCGAATCGTGACTTCTTTGGCAATACCCACCCCTAGCTCTGAGCATGCCCGATGATGACGTCACACAATACAACGGAGAGAATGTAAAACGCATCCATTACTTCCAGAAAAGTCTTCCAAGTTTTCTATACAATGTAGCATTTAGCATTATTTAAGTATATAAATAAGTATTTTCAGTAGCGTTATTAATCTGCGATCTGGACCTTATTCTAATCGCACATGAGCAGGAAGGATCAGATAGTGACACTCTCCATTGTTTACGGTCCTGATTTTCTTCACACTGATGACAAAACGCAGTTTTTTGGCCAGTGAAAGGGAACCAAATGCGGACACAAGTTTGAAAAAACACATTTAATGCATTATTTTCAGTAGGAAAGAGGCTTTAGTCAGTCTCTCATTCACTGAAGCTCCAGTTTATGGTTTCTGTAAAGCCAGAGACTCTCCAGCCTCCCTTTTTATGTATTCTTAGTAAAATGCAGCCCATGATAAACTTAATTAGCTATAGGAAGCAATAACCAAATTAAAGGGGAGCCACTTAAGGCACTGGTATACATTTTAAATGTCATTTTCAGTCTTTAAATGTCTAAAATCACCATCAATAAACTGGGATATTTGTTAAACTCAGAAAGCTACTCCTATTGGTTCTATTCAATATCATACCAACAAATTATGGGTTTTACTCGTGAAATTATCCTCTGGTAGTTAAATCTGTCAAAACTGAATATTTTTTTGCTATATTTTACCATTTGGATTTTTATTTTATCGTAATGCTTCCTTGAGCCAATAAAAAGGTTAAGGTTAAAAACTTGTTGGAGGTAATTTAAACATATTTAAACACATTTGTTTTTGATACCTGCTACAGTAGAAAAGAAACTGAACAGTTTTACAAGTTTAACTGTTTTTATTTAACTGGTTTAATATCCAATCAGTGTCATCCTACGTTCAGATCGCACGCAGCAGAAGCAGCAAAAACGTGCGTGCTGCTTCATTTTTGATGCTTGTACCAGTTTAGTTCTGACGCGCGGCTGAAGCATCTTCACTGCTCCTGCTGCGCGGTGGAAAAAGTGGGTCTGATGTGCGTTGGGCGGAGCTACTCTATCCTTTCTTGCCTGGAAAAATGGCAGCCATATTAGCTGTGATCAGTGGGGAAAAAGTCTTTTTAATGTTTTTAAGTGAGAAAGTCCTGAAAACTAAATTTCTGCACTCAGTTAATCCAGACTGATCTCATACGCTCACATATCGGCAGTGCGCTGTCACTGGGAATCCCCAGCAACAGCAGCCTCAGGCCCGCTCACATATTCAAGGTTTTCGCTGTATCCCAAACTGCAGGCACCAGGACAATAAAATCTAACATATTCTGCTGGCAGGTTTCTACATTTTAAGTTAATTTAGGTGTTAATAAACTTTTTCTGAGGAGTGATCATGTCAGATGCTCAGAAGGTCATGAGGCGCCACTTCAGCTGCTCAGACGTGCTGTGGTACCTTTTGCTGCGCCTTGATGTGCGTCAACCATTGACTTTGCATGTAAACTAGCTGCTTCTGATTCTTGCGGTCTGAAAGTATCAAACGCTGAGCTGAACATTTCAGGCTCATTTTTCCGCCATATTCTGCCGGGCTTCCTTTGACCTACCCCTCCATCTGGGCCTTTGTCTCCTTCAGCTCTTTCTCCAGCTCCTCTTTTTCCCTCTGCAGGCGCCGAAGAGCCACCTGCCTCTTCTCTGCCAGCTCCTGGCTCTTCTGCTCCTGCTCCTCCATGACGGCCAGCTCCCCCAGCACCTCCTCCATTTCCTCCTTAAGGTGTCTCATTCGCTCTTCAGAGCCTTCCCTCTCCTGCTCCAGCAGCGCAGTCAGAGAGTCCACCAGAGCCTGCAGACACCGACAGGAAGGACGTTTCCTAAATGTAGCGCTGTGCTCCAGCTTATTCTTTTAAAATAAACGATACTGAGGATTCATCTTTTCTAACCTTCTCTCTGACCCGCTCCTCGGTGAGCGCCGCCTTCTCTTGCTCCAGCTGATTCAGTCTGTCCCTTTCAGCCTGTTGTAAGAAGTTTAGCTCGTTCTGCAGCTCCTCTACTCTCCTAAGCAGTTCATCCTGAGTCTTAGCTAAAACCGTACAAAGGTATTAGTGTCACATGAATAACTAATCTTTAAATGACCTGATAAAACAGCAGAAGCTGCAGGTAAACGTACTTCTCTGCTCCTCTGAGGTCAGACACTTCTGTTCCAGATGTGCCACCTTCTCCTGCAGCTCGCTCTCCGTTTTCCGGAGCACCTCCCTCAGCCTGGAGAGCTCCGCCTCTTTCTGACGGACGTCTGCCTGAGAGTCTTCAGCTTCCTGGCGGGCCGATTCCAGCTGCCTCTCTGTGTCGGCGGCTGATTTCTGAGCAGCTTTCAGCTCCAGCTCCTGGTTTTCTAACCTCCTCTCCGCCTCCAGCAGAGCCGTCTTGGATGCCTGTAGCTCCTGCTCAAAGTTATCGGCCTCCTCCTCTTTTTGTTTCATTAACTCTTGTGTGGTTTGCAGCTCTGCTGCTCTTTGTTCCACCTCCATTTCTAGAAGCCTGCAGAAAGCTGCAATAAGTGAACAGTAGATACCTGATAGCTCGGATTAGAAGGGGAAAAGTTGTAAACATTTACTTTATTTTCTCCCCTTGGTGTTCAGCAGGATTGTTCTCTTGCGTCATCTCTTGAATCTTCAAGCGGAGATCCTATTTGGAAAAACACAAATGTCTTTTACAAGTTTTTTTTTCTTCAGAAGTTTCACTTTTGCAGCTGTAGGTTCAACCTGAATCTGATCATTCGCTGCATCCAAGTATTCCTGGAGTACTCGGATTTCTCCCCTCAGCTCTAGGATCACACCTGAAAAACAGGAGAATAAAGAGTTAAAACTATTCGCCAACAGATCATTTTCTTTCAAGAAAAAGGAGAAACTAAAAATCTTACCATTTAACCTCTGGATTTCCATCTCCAGCTCTGCATTCTGGGTTTTTGTCACTTGATGGAGATCCTCTAAATAAAAGGAAAAACATGTTTAAATGTATAGCGGACGATCTTTTATTTCCGGGTGGATCATCTCATCATATCATCAGTCATTCTGGTGATATGTTTACGTTAGGCGGGTGTAGGTACCAGATCTGCTCGGGCCCCCAGCGTCTGTGTGTTGAGAGCATCTGTAGCGTTAGCATTTCTAATGAAAGATGAAGCCGTACCTAATTAATAATAAAGCTAGAAAATCTGTTTATGGTGAACAAAGCAACTGTTAGACCCTGATATAAAGGGGGAGAGCTGGGTAGCGCTGTGGCTAGCTGTGCTCTGTAGCTAACAGGTTAGCCTCTTTTAGCTCGGTCAGTTAGCCAGATTAAGCTACACTACTTTTAACTTGTCAAAACCGTTCGTTTTCTAAAATTAAAATAAGTAAAATAACTATTTTCGTTGTCTAAAATCTCTACAAAAGTCATTTTTTTTTAAAGATGTTCCATTTGTCTAGCCTCATGAGACCATCCTGATCTCGCAAGCTTTCAAGGTTTCACTCGCAGATCAGTCTGGAGACTCTCCGTTAAAGAAAATTTGGAGCCGTTCACCAAACGAACGTCCAATCAGCGTTGGCTTTGAGGCGGGTTGAGGTGTGA